CAGAGACCAAGCAGGAACTCTACTAGGAATAATAACCTACAACTTGGGGGGTTTTGAAGCAAATTGAATAGATACTTAAAGAGTATCCATTTGATCCTGTCCTAAAAAAAAAAAAAAGTCTTATGATTATTAAAAAATATATTCATGCATATATTTATTTAGAAATCTTTTTGTACCCATGAGGAAAATATGTAGTCTTCATACAGTTCTTAGACCTGTAAAGATTTTATGTCTTTAGTTGGTGTAGTGGTTCTGTTTAGGTACAGAGATTTTTTTAAGCGATTAAAATCATCTCTGGTTCCGCTCCTCGAGAGAACACCAGTGGCCTTTTGATGGAGCCATCCTCTCTAACGCCTCCACTAACGAGGTTCGCGCTTGTGCACCTTCTCCTTCTGTCCGCAGACACATGGCTACCCACTCGCCCCAGAAATCTCACCGGTGTGCTCACTGTGAGAAGACCTTCAACCGAAAAGATCACCTGAAGAACCACCTCCAGACCCATGACCCCAACAAGATGGCCTTTGGGTGTGAGGAGTGTGGGAAGAAGTACAACACGCTGTTGGGCTACAAGAGGCACCTGGCCCTCCATGCGGCCAGCAGTGGCGACCTCACCTGCGGGGTCTGTGCCTTGGAGCTAGGGAGCACGGAGGTGCTGCTCGACCACCTCAAAGCCCACGCCGAGGAGAAGCCGTCCACCGGAGCCAAGGAGAAGAAACACCAGTGCGACCACTGCGAGCGGTGCTTCTACACCCGGAAAGATGTGCGGCGCCATCTGGTGGTCCACACAGGTTGCAAGGACTTCCTGTGCCAGTTCTGTGCCCAGCGATTTGGGCGCAAAGACCACCTCACCCGACACACCAAGAAGACGCACTCCCAAGAGCTGATGAAAGAGAGGCTGCAGAATGGAGACCTGGGCACCTTCCACACCATCTCGCCGCCGCCGCCGCCGCCGTTCCACCGCAAGGCTGCCCCGCTGTCTCCCTTCCCGATAGGGATGCCCATGCAGAATGGGCTTGCAAGTAGCTTGCCAGCTGAGGTACACAGCCACACCCACAGTCCCTCTGAAACCATCCCCCAACCTGTGCAACCCATGCCAGAACCCCTCCCCGCTCTCCACCCCTCAGCATCTCCCGGCCCTCCTCCCCCCGCCCTCCAGAATCACAAGTACAGCACCACCACTTCTACCTCATACCCACTGCTTGCAAACCTGACCATCAAAACCGAGCCTAAAGATTTTTGCAATATCAATCTGCTCGAGGAGTTGCCTCTGCAAGAGCCTCCGTCACCTCACAAGCTCAACCCAGGTTTTGACCTGGCCAAGGCCAGTGCTGGTAAGATCAGCCTGCCCAAAGAGCTGTCCGCAGATGCTGTGAACCTGACCATACCTGCCTCTTTGGATATCTCCCCTATTTTGGGCTTCTGGCAGCTGCCCCCTCCTGCTACCCAAAATGCCTTTGGGAATAGCACTCTCACCCTAGGGCCTGGGGAAGCCCTGCCCCACAGATTGAGCTGCCTGGGGCAACAGCAGCAAGAGTCCCCACTCACCATGGGCACGATGAGCCTGGGTCAGCTCCCCCTGCCCGCCATCCCCCATGTGTTCTCTGCTGCCACTGGCCCTGCCATCCTGCCTCA